TATGTTCAAAATCCCATAAGACCAACTTTGAAATTTAAAATATATTATTGTTAGATTAGGCTTTAAAATTTTTATTTAGAATTTTGTATATATTAAGTTATTTTTTATGTTGAAAACAAAAATTAATGTCATAATTTTATGGTTTAATGTCTCCATAGCTCCTTATTTTGGTTCGAAATATTAAATAAGTCCATTTTCTTTTCGACATATCAATTGGGTCCTTTTTATTGTCAAATTGATTCAATTAAAGGCCTGCCGTTAAATTCAACAAACGGCCGTTTAAGTGATGCTAACGTGGCATGGTCGATTGAATGAGTAGTTTAAGTGATGCTAAGGTGGCATGGTCGATTGAATGAGTAATCATAAGTGGCATTACAATGGAGTTTTTTTATTAAAAAATTTGTATGGAGAGAGGTGAAATCAGATTGAGGGAAGGGAAAGGGGAAAATGAAAAAAACACTCGATGCCGAATCCAAGGATCAAGTGGATCAAAATCCGCGACACCTCGCTCTTCCTTCTCCGAAGGCTTCGATTTACCTATCCCGTTGAGAAGATCATCGAATGCGGCCGGAGCGAAAACATCATCGTAGGAGAACTTGGAGTCGGGAGGTTAACGGACTCGAAGTCATAGGACGCGTCTGACTTGCCACCGCCGCTGAAGAGATCGTCAAAGGAAGCGGCGTTGACAGAGTCGTGGCCAACCAAAGAATTGGAAGCTCGAGCGGACAACGAACCTAAATCGAAGTTGACAGAAGATGAATTGTTGGACGAAGCTTTAGATGCTGCCATTGGCGCCGATTTTCCTTGGGGTTTGAACCCGAAATTGCTGGTTAAGAGACCATCGAAATTGTTCATAGAGAGAGAGAGAGAGNTCACGGCAGTTTTGATTTTGTGATGTTGGTCTTAATTAGTCTCTCTTATTGATGTTCTTGCTCTCACTCTCTCTTTGAATCATTATGGGCTTCGGTTGTCTTACCAACCAAAACATATTATTAAAATATAAGTTTTATTTAAGAACTGAAACTTAAATTACTCCTTTTTTTTAGTTTCACCTTGAGTTTTTTTTTTCATGATGAAAATGGTTGGGTCCGAATAATGCTATGCTTAATTTATTACTTGGAATAAACATGAATAAATGTATTCATTTTATATAAAAGTGAAAAAGAAGGGTAAGTGAATAGTTTCATAAAATAAGTACATGTTTCGATTTTAATATAATAATAACAAAAAGGCTTAAATGTTTACCTCGTCCTTATGTTAAGAGGTGAATTTTTGTTTAGTACCCGATTTTAAAAATGAAGACATTGGATCCCTATGTTATGAAAAGTGTACCATCGTTAAAAGTTAAAAACAAAAAAGATTACATGTTGTTGTCATATGTCTTTTAATATGTTTTTGTGTTTGTGTTTTTTTATTGTTTATGGTGTTTGTTTTTTCTATGATTGTGATAGTTTTAGGTGTGGTTGTTCCCACAATCATTTGGCTTGTCTTTATGTTTATTGTCATTATTGTTGGTTATTTTTTTTATTATTATACTCCTAATTTATGTACATGTTCTTGTTTTTAGTCGATTCGATAGACATATTAAATAATACGATTTAATAATCTTTTTAAGTATCTTAATAATGGAACAATTCAATTTTACACTTATTTAGGTCATAATTACATAATATAACCAAATATCAGTAGTTTGTTGTATTTGTTATTATTTATCATTCCATTACTATTTATTATACTTTTATTATATTTTTCTAGCGAGTATTATTCTAATAAGAACATAACTAGTATTTTTGAAGGAATTGACACTCTTTGATAAACACTTATACACATGATATTTACAAAGATCACAATCTTACTTACTTTAGTGTCGAGAGTCTTTTGTAAGCATATTTCTTCCCTTTTAACAATAAGGAGACGTTTTCCAAACAAAAAGAGCAATCAAACAACAGTTAGGATCTTGTCAGTTATCCATAAATTTATGTTCAAAATCCCCATAAGACCAACTTTCAAATTTAAAATATATTATTGTTAGATTAGGCTTTAAAATTGTTATTTAGAATTTTGTATATATTAAGTTATTTTTTTATGTTGAAAACAAAAATTAATGTCATAATTTTATTATTTAAGAAATTTAGATATATATATATATATATATATATATATAATTGCGTTTACTTTGTGTGTTGAATTTATTGGTTTGTATTATTTATATTTTCAAAATTTCGTATTTTAAGTGTTTTAGTTGCCAAAAGTTTGGACATCTGTGCATTGAGTTAATATTAGTTTTAGATTTGAGATTCAATATAAATATTTGTCTACTATATATTCAATTTGAATTGTTCTTATTATTTAATATAGAATGTTTCGGGTGTAAGGCTAATGATTTTTACAAAACAATTCTTCTCACTTTTCTCGATATCAACTTAGGTTATCTTGAACACTCTTAGTCAAATTCTTTCCGCAATCTTAATGTTTGAACTCCAAACTGTACAAATACTAGTGTAGAAAGGGCATTTAACGTATGTTATTTTGGCCTTTTAACGTCAGCTTCAGAACCGACGTCTATGTGGGTGACGTTAATCAAACGTCGGACACAAAAGGTCCGACATCTTTATAGACGTCGGTTACTGCATGATCCGACGTCTAAAGGGCTCTATAGACGTCAGACATTGCATTAACCGACGTCTACTACAGCTCGTGTCTTTGTGTAGCCTAGTAGCACCTTCTTCCTTTGCTAGTTTCATCATAGAAAAGGTTGCATCTTTTGGATCTCTTATGGCATTTCAACCGAAAACCGAATCTTGGTCCTTTCCTAGTTCCATTAAAACCGCCAATGAAAACTAACGGTGACAATAGAACTAGGCAAGGACCGAAGTTCAGTTTTGGGTTGAAACGCTATAAGACATCCAAAAGACGCAAGCTTTTCTTACAAGGAAACTAGCAAAAGGAGAATGCGGTACTACGCTACCCAAAGACACGAGAACAACTGCACCAAAACAACAAAAACTCATTTTAATCGGTTCAAATGAAAGATAATCAACCAAAGACTAATATAATCGGAATAAAAGTACGTTTAAACGGTTCAAAAGAGACAAAAACGCACCTGGAAAAGCAATGCCTCATAGAGAAAAGGTGAGAAGGAAGATGATGAAGTGCTCGTAACTGCGGGTTTGCTGTCTGATTTAACAGCAAACTAGACATCTGCTCCCCAGGTGAACCGACGTCTATTCTGGCCTAGACGTCGGGGCCCTCACTAATATGACGTCCAAAACAACTTTTCACCTACCCTGTCAGGCCATTTAGACGTCGGATGGCGGGATCCGACGTCTGTATGGTGGAAAAAAATAACTTTTCATCCACCTGTAAAACATATATGATAAGTGCAAAAAAGTAGTAAATTTTCATATGGAACTTTGTCACTTCTGTTTTAAATTGGGTACATTTGTATCAATTTTCCCCAATCTAAGAAAGATGAAAAGTAATCACATGTTTCTGAGTTGTTGATTAAAAGGAAATCATTTGATCCCTATTTTGTATATATTTCAGGTAAATTAAGAGAGAAGAGTAACTCCTGCAACATTTCGTCCAAGTTAGAATAATCTCGCTTAAGCTAGATTCATCCAGGAAGCCATTGATTTTAAAGTCATTTTTGCTTAAGCGAGAATAACTTAGCTTAAGCGAGAATGACTATCTTCTCCAAGAAGTTTCTTCTCGCTTAAACGAGAATAATTTAGCTTAAGCGAAAATTTGGGCAGTATATATACTCATGAGTTAGAAAGAAAAAAGAAGAAGACGGAGAGCGCGGAGAAAAGAAGACACAGAGCTACCCAAAGAGTTTTTCTTCCATTTAGCTATAGGATCTTCTTCTTCATCTCTTAGAATGTCAACGGCCACCATGAGTGGCTGATCTTTTCTCTTGGGATTGAATGTAATCGATTCGAACTCGGATGTAATATGGTGATATTTATATATAGCATTTATGTTTTATTCAATATTGGTATTTTTGTTCTGCTCTTAGTGCTTGATTTTATCTTATCAATAGTTTCATGAATGTGGGTTTTAGTTTTGACTGGAAAGTATTTCTAAAATCTGATCTGAACAAAAATACTTGATATCGTGTGATGTTAGGGATAAATTTCAGTTTATCAATTGCTTTTAACACTTGATTATAATGCTGGACATTTTTTTTGGATATGTGAGGAATCAATATTCAAGGAATTGATCTTATGAATTTTATACGCGAGGAATCGGTATAAATGACTTTTGTGTGTTGCATCAATATTGGTAATTTTAGTTGCTATATGTTTATATTCATTCAGATTGTAGACGAGTGAGATAGATGAATTCAATCCTAACTTCTCGTATTAAACTTCCTTTAACTTATCTGCTGTTAATATTTTACTTTTACGCAACGTAGTATAAATTATCAAAATCCATTATGAATCAGTTTGAATACCCTTGTATATATGTTGTTTGAGATAAATTTATCTATTTAATTGAAGCTATTCCTCGTGGGATCGATACTCTTACTTTAAAATCATTATACTACAGTTGACTATTGGTACGCTTGCCAAAAGTTCAACAAGTATTTTTGGTGCCGTTGTCGGGGGACGATTTTCTTTTGAATTTTTAAAGTTATCTCATCTAGCTGTGTGAATATATTTCTTTTTTTTTATTTAGTTTATTAGGTTTCTTTTTTGTACTAATCCTTTCTTGAGCTGTTTTGATTTATGTTCTTAAGAGGTCAAGTTTCTAAAGATCAATTAGCATTTGACCCAGAGATAGAAAAAACCGCTCGAAGAAGTAGAGGCAAAAACAAGAAGAAGCAAGGAAAAACAAAGGAAAAATCTTCCAATACTTCCATGACACATCTGGATACAAAAAATATGGCGGAAGAAGGACCAACCCCACCTAGAAGAACATTGGGAGACTATGTTATGCAATAAGGGCCAAGATATTTTTCTAGCACAGTAATACCGCCCACCACCAAAACATTGGAGATGAAGCCAGCTTTCCTTAGCCTAATCAGTTCTCATCAATTCACTGGAATGGATAATGAAGATCCATACATTCATCTTTCTACATTCTATGAACTGATAGGAACTATGGGATTTGAAGAAATGGATCTTGATCATGTTTATATGCGTTTGTTTCCTTTTTCTCTAAAAGGAAAAGCAAAGGAATGGCTTAAATCACATCCAAACCAAAGTCTGAACAAGTAGAGTGATGTAGAAGATAAATTCTTGAATATATTCTTTCCACCTTCTCGTTACATTAAGGCAAAAACTGAGATTTCTACTTTTAGGCAAGGACCAGATGAGCCATTCTGTGAAGCTTGGGAACGATTTAATTCTTTACTGAGGAGATGCCCAAATCATGGGTTTGAAGATATTGCTCAACTAAATATTTTCTACAATGGTTTGAGGCCAGACACAAAAATGATATTAGATGCAGTAGCTGGAGGAACAATGATGTCTGTAGATGCAGAGCAAGCAACAAGAATCATTGAGGCACTAGCACCTACAGACCATCAAGCTCAACATAATAGACAAACAGTTCAACGGAAAGGAATGCTTGATCTCAGTACTACAGATGCAATTTTAGCTCAGAATAAAATTCTGACTCAATAGATGGAAGCATTAACCATACAGATGGCTAACTTACCTGAGCAGTTAAAAGCAGTACAATCTTCTCCTAGTCAACAACCCATGAGATGTAACTTCTGTGGAGGTGACCATCCCAATGGTCATTGTTCATATCAAAGTGGCCCACAAGAAGGAGAAGTTCAATATGTGAGTAATCAAGGAAGGACAGGTAATTTCTCTAATAATAATAACTTTTCACAGGGGTGGAGAAACAATCAAAGTTAGAGTTTTGGATGGAAACAAGATGTTGGTCCTTCAAATAGATAACCTCCTTATCAGCATCAACAACAAAATCCTTCTGTGTATGAAAGAACAACCAAATTAGAGGATACTTTAGAAAAATTCATGCAAGTTTCTATGACCAATCAGAAAAATACAGAAGCTTCAATCAGAAATCTTGAAACACATGTTGGACAATTGGCTAAACAACTATCAAATCAATAGACAAGTCATTTTTCAGCCAACACCCAAACTAATCCCAAGGAGCATTGCAATTCAATTACTACCATGAGTGGAAAAATTGTGGGAAGAGGGATTGAAGACAATCTAGTTGTGGAGGAGGAAGTTTTGAAGAAAAAAGAAAATGAGAAAGAGAAAAATGAGTGTGAGGGAGAGAAAGAGAAAAATAAAAGTGAGTATGTGAATAAAGGAGAAGAAAATAAAAGTCAAGAAAAAGAGAAAAANATATATAATTGCGTTTACTTTGTGTGTTGAATTTATTGGTTTGTATTATTTATATTTTCAAAATTTCGTATTTTAAGTGTTTTAGTTGCCAAAAGTTTGGACATCTGTGCATTGAGTTAATATTAGTTTTAGATTTGAGATTCAATATAAATATTTGTCTACTATATATTCAATTTGAATTGTTCTTATTATTTAATATAGAATGTTTCGGGTGTAAGGCTAATGATTTTTACAAAACAATTCTTCTCACTTTTCTCGATATCAACTTAGGTTATCTTGAACACTCTTAGTCAAATTCTTTCCGCAATCTTAATGTTTGAACTCCAAACTGTACAAATACTAGTGTAGAAAGGGCATTTAACGTATGTTATTTTGGCCTTTTAACGTCAGCTTCAGAACCGACGTCTATGTGGGTGACGTTAATCAAACGTCGGACACAAAAGGTCCGACATCTTTATAGACGTCGGTTACTGCATGATCCGACGTCTAAAGGGCTCTATAGACGTCAGACATTGCATTAACCGACGTCTACTACAGCTCGTGTCTTTGTGTAGCCTAGTAGCACCTTCTTCCTTTGCTAGTTTCATCATAGAAAAGGTTGCATCTTTTGGATCTCTTATGGCATTTCAACCGAAAACCGAATCTTGGTCCTTTCCTAGTTCCATTAAAACCGCCAATGAAAACTAACGGTGACAATAGAACTAGGCAAGGACCGAAGTTCAGTTTTGGGTTGAAACGCTATAAGACATCCAAAAGACGCAAGCTTTTCTTACAAGGAAACTAGCAAAAGGAGAATGCGGTACTACGCTACCCAAAGACACGAGAAAAACTGCAGCAAAACACAACAAAAACTCATTTTAATCGGTTCAAATGAAAGATAATCAACCAAAGACTAATATAATCGGAATAAAAGTACGTTTAAACGGTTCAAAAGAGACAAAAACGCACCTGGAAAAGCAATGCCTCATAGAGAAAAGGTGAGAAGGAAGATGATGAAGTGCTCGTAACTGCGGGTTTGCTGTCTGATTTAACAGCAAACTAGACATCTGCTCCCCAGGTGAACCGACGTCTATTCTGGCCTAGACGTCGGGGCCCTCACTAATATGACGTCCAAAACAACTTTTCACCTACCCTGTCAGGCCATTTAGACGTCGGATGGCGGGATCCGACGTCTGTATGGTGGAAAAAAATAACTTTTCATCCACCTGTAAAACATATATGATAAGTGCAAAAAAGTAGTAAATTTTCATATGGAACTTTGTCACTTCTGTTTTAAATTGGGTACATTTGNATATAATTGCGTTTACTTTGTGTGTTGAATTTATTGGTTTGTATTATTTATATTTTCAAAAGTTCGTATTTTAAGTGTTTTAGTTGCCAAAAGTTTGGACATATGTGTGCATTGAGTTAATATTAGTTTTAGATTTGAGATTCAATATAAATATTTGTCAACTATATATTCAATTTGAATTGTTCTTATTATTTGCTTTATATAAAAAAAAATATATAGAATGTTTCGGGTGTAAGGCTAATGATTTTTACAAAACAATTCTTCTCACTTTCCTCTATATCAACTTAGGTTATCTTAAACACTCTTAGTCAAATTCTTTCCACAATCTTAATGTTTGAACTCCAAACTGTACAAACAGTAGTGTAGAAAGGGCATTTAACGTCTGATATTTTGGCCTTTTAACGTCAGCTCCAGAACCGACGTCTATGTGGATGATGTTAATCAAACGTCAGACTCAACACGTCCGACGTCTTTATAGACATCGGTTACTGCATGATCCGACGTCTAAAGGGCTCTATAGATATCGGACATTGCATTAACCGATGTCTACTACAGCTCGTGTCTTTGGGTAGCCTAATAGCACCTTCTTCCTTTGCTAGTTTCGTCATAGAAAGGTTGCGTCTTTTGGATCTCTTATGGCATTTCAACCGAAAACCGAATCTTTGTCCTTGCGTAGTTCCATTAAAACCGCCAATGAAAACTAACAGTGACAATAGAACTAGGTAAGGACCGAAGTTCGGTTTTTGGTTGAAACGCTATAAGACATCCAAAAGACTCAAGCTTTTCTTACAAGGAAACTAGCAAAGGGAGAATGCGGTACTACGCTATCCAAAGACACGAGAAAATAACTTTTCATCCACCTGTAAAACATATATGATAAGTGTAAAAAAGTAGTAAATTTTCATATGGAATTTTGGCACTTCTGTTTTAACTTGTATACATTTGTATCAATTTTCCCCAATCTAAGAAAGATGAAAAGTA